AGTGATCAAACTGTATTAGTTGTATCGTGCATTAAAGAATGGTTAACCCAATACACTGAATGTTTCGTACAACCCTGTGACTGTGATAAACAATGCTGTTGGAAAGGGCTGATTTTTCTACCACCGTATAACAACGGGATGGCTGTTGTTCTGTGTAGTTGATTCCAAATAGTGAGTATAATTCTTTGTAATACTTGATTCTAATAAGCAATTTGCGCTGACGGTCTACTAATCTAGAACTTGTTCAAAATCAGTAGGCGGAAACCCATCCTACTGGATGATCTGAAGGCAGCGTGAAAAATCAACACCGATAACCTGCTAAGTATAATGCAGATGTATGTTCTTTGTTTTAAATCCCCTAAGCCCAAGTGTAAGTAATTGAGCATCCTACTGAGTCGAAAAATACCTACAGTTAATGCAATGCGAGCTACAAACGGTATGGTCATGTTCTGTAAAAATTAGCCAATCAACTGAAGCGAGCTACAAACGGTATGGTCATGTTCTGTAAAAATTAGCCAAATCAACTGAATCACGGAACACCAATATTTTAAAGATGCAGAGAATCACCATCGAACAGAGAAGCTCAATGTAAGAAATTTGCTGACCTTCAGGAAATAATTAGCGAAAAGAAAGCATAGGACGTTGAAAAAACTTAAACCGCAAGGTCTGCAAAGAAGTTTCGGATACAAAAAAACACGTAAAGAGTGGTAGGTCTTTGAAACAGTTACTCAGAGCGACTGATCGAATGGAACATTGGGTGCTTGATAAGTATCGTAGATTTTGATTTGCACTCAAAAATTGGAAACACTTCACAGCTGTTCCTTCGTGGAAAAGCACAAGCAGGAAGAACCTGATAGGAGATAAATGCATCACTAAAGTGCTGGACGCTGATCTCAAGTATGGGTCACTTAATTCGGGACGAATATTGCGCCACCAATCTATCGGTGGAACAGATCCAAAGTGACTTGATGTCCTCCGCGTATCTCGACGGGATTGTTTGACTGATTAGGCTACTTATATACCAACAGTAGAGAGGTGTTACAAAAGTTAACGTGAGGTCTAAAGGAGCCCTGCGTAGCAAGTGGTCTGTTCTCCAAGGTGAAGATTCCATCAAATCAGATGCGTCTTATTCTGAGAAGCTTAGCTTGAAGAATCAACAGGTACCAGATCGCATCTAGTGGACTATGAGCTACACCCCATCCAACTGAAAGTTAATTAAAATGCTGATCTGTCACCCGCAGCCAGGTGATTAGCGGGAATAGCGTCTTCCCGGAACTATTAGGAACCCGTGAACTTTGTGGACTGGCGCCAGGTCCCTTCCGCGCTCTCTCCCTCTCTCTATTCCCCTTTCAAAATAGGGCTTTTATTGAAGCTCATACATCAAACTATCACAAGTGAAGCTGCATCCGCACAGTTTTTCAGATGAACTGAGACGCGCTGCAGCACAAAGGAGTTCATGAACAGAAAAAAGGGAGACAACTGTAAGTAGTTTTTTAACGAGTTATTACCCAAAAACTTTTTGTAGCTACTTTAATCGGTGCTAATAATGAGAATTTACCACTGTTCGAAAGAATACGGTCAAACTCTTAGCCTTTTCCGTAGTTGTGCAAATGTATTACGAAAGTGTTTGCAGATGTAGTTGAATCAAACCGTAAAATTACCGATTGACTCACACGTAAGCGGGAACAAGTAAGCATGCAAATGACTCGTTAGATATGAAGATCGGCAGCAACCTAATGTCGAGCGGAAACTATCGTTTTTTGGCAACACCGGTCCTGCGTGTAAATGCCCCGAGATTTGTGTTATAACTAGTTACGTGTGTTACCTTACTTCGATACAAGTGAAAAATTGCAGTATGTGGTCAGTTTTGGAAAAAGGTATCCACAGAAAAAGCACTGGAGACAATCCTGTTAGCACGAAAAACCTTCTGTTGAAGTTCTACTTTACGAGAGCAACCGAACTAAGAGCTTGTACTGACCTCGCAAATGGCGGATCTGTTCCTCGAGGAAGAAGAGCACCACAGGAAAGCTTTGTGCTATTAGATCAAATTTATTCGCCAGTTACCCCTTAGAACAGTTCATGTTACTCTATTTTGGGAGAGCAGGGTTCGGTTAGTGGGATGATTCTCCCTTAGCTCAAATATACAACAGCATTACAAAGCTACAAACTCGATTGGAGATAATAAAGTCAGTTAAATGGACAGAACGAGGAATAACTCAACACTTAAAAATCCCTCTTTCTCGTTCAGGTCAAATGAACATCTGTGACGAATTATCTTTTTTAAATAGAAAAACACTAGTTCATAATAACCTAAATAAGAGAAGTCGTAGATCGGTGTACATATTGCCAGGTTTTAGTAGTATACCTCGATTACGGGAACGCGTGTATCCCAGGTGATAAGCCCAAACGAAGAGGTTTCATTGCACACTCGCGTAAACGTATTGAAGTAGCTGGATTCAAAATACTCCACGAGTCCGTTGCAGAAAGTATGCTATATACAGGTGGAGACACCTCCCCGGAAGACCAGTTTGAAATCTCTAAGCGTTTTCTCAAAAAAGGAGCAATGAGTGGTTCTCAGAGGGCTCTACTACATAATTCCGGCTAGCTCCGCGTTGACAAAATGAGTTGTACACTACTAAACTGGCCATTGGGTCGCGGTAAAATGAAACTGAGATGAATCTTCTGTTCACGACATTCCACAGTCGAATGTGCACAAAAACGGAGCATTTACCTAAACTTCCTTTCGGTGCCATTCTTCTCCAAGGTGTTACAGAAGCAATCCGAAAAGTATACTACATGAAACGACAAATACGGAGCTACATGTTATTGTGTGGGTGCATGAGTCGCAGACTCAGAAATGATAATAGGGTAGGAGGTAAGAAAGGTGAACATGGTGTACGGGACTGCATGGAAATCTTTCGTTGATCTATAAATACAATCATCTTAGCATGTTAAGAAATACTCGGCCTTTTCAACTAGTTTGGGGTCTATAGGTGACGGATGGTGGGTCCCGAAATAAAACAGCAACTAAAAGAATAATTTAACGCCTCCATACATTTGAGTACTGTTTATCTTGGGTTAGCGATTCGGACGGAAACAATATTTGTTTGCTGATATGCAT